CTTCCTGTGTGTGAGATTGTGAGATCTGCTGGAAGGGGATTCAGAACAGTGGTAAGTGTTGGGGATTGAGCCTAGGTCCATCTGGAGCAGCAGGCACCTCCAGCAGTTTGTTATGTAATTAAAAAAAGAGTATTAATCACTGTCAAACAAAATCGCTACAACTCATCTGATACTGGGATTATGGGGTGAAGAAAACTCAAGAGACCCTCCTGCCACTGCCTGCAGGAATGCTAGGATGACAGGCGTGTGCTGCCATACCCGGCCTTACATATATATATATATATGTATGTATTTGGAAGAGATTTATTTCCTGTGTCTGACTCCTAATGACGTAATAAAATGTGCAGAGACCCAAGGATCACTTCTCCAGCTCCCAGGCACTAGACATTTTATACTGTAGCAGCAGCTTCCAAGACATGGGGCGGGGCGATGACGTCACAAAGCAACTGTCCAATCGTGACCCAACGACAGAATGGCATGCCAGGGAGATTTGCAGGCACTTGGAGCAGGGGAATGGCCGTGCAGACTCTGAAAACTAGCAGCAGCAGCGTGAAGAGGCCCCCATGCCTACTTGGGTGAGGGAGGCCAGCACGAGTTGATGGGAACAGCATGTCGGGCATTCTGGGATTTGTAGGCGTGCCCCGTCCCTGGTCCAAGCTGCTTAACGGGAGAGACTCAGAGATGGGACTGCAAACAATCCCAGAAGGCATTGCGCCGGCCAGACACCATTTTGGTAGTTCTAGATACAATCCCAGAAGTCCTTGCTTCGACGCCATGTTTGTAGTTTTCAGGAAGGTTGGTCTTTTCCGCAAAGCATCATGTTACTGTTGGTACTTCCCAAACCAGCGAGCGCTCGCTCAGAAGTGGGGAAAAAGGATGAAGGTCCGTCTGTGAGTAGGTTTGTGCTTACATCCCTGTGGCGGGGGACAGGGAGATGGCGGGGCCGCCTCGGAGCGTCTGCACCCGGAAGTCTCTGCAGGGCAGATCCGGAAGCAAAGCCCAAAGGGCGGGACTTCCGCTAGTGGCACACCGCTACCTGGACCTGTTGTCCCTTGTCAGCAATCTTCTTATCCCAAGCAGTAATGAACTCGTAGTCCTGGTCACACGAGGGTTCGGGGAGGGAAAGAACCTTGGGGTTCGCCGCCTCCCTCCCCTGTCCACCGCCAGCCGACCGTCCTGGTGTCCCCGAGCGGCTCCTGCGTGGGGCAAGGGGGATGGCGGGAAGAGAAGAGGCCCAGTCCTTCTCTCCCACCAGGCTTGTGTGCTTCGTGGGGAAGATGGGTGCACCCTGCCCTGGGTGAGGTTGTGCACGACCTTCTATATGTTGTTCTGGCGCCCTCTGCTGGCCTGCGGGTGCATGAGCAGGGAGGACCCTATAAATGATGTTTGGGGGGGTTGAGTAGGTAAGATGCACTGGGCTTAGTTGTTAGGGTGCCGGAGACTCAGTACAGAAGGATCTGGCCACCTCTGCTGGTCTGAAGGCATACACACATGGGCAAAGAGAAAAAGTAAGCGGTGGAGAAGAAAGAGGAAGGAAGGAAAGAGTAAGAGAGAAAAAAGGAAGAAAGAAATCTGTGGTTTTTACAGAAAAAAGTCAGCTAATTGAAACTTGGGTACTATTTGGCGTTGGTTTGCTGAATTTAAGCCAACATACGCAGATAAATGCAGGTATTCTGTAGTGATAAAAGTAATTGACATTTTTCCACATGGTAAATAAATTATTTTCAGCCAGAACGGAGGTGTAGAACGTGGCAAACCAACACATTTTATTTAGAGTCCGTATCAAATAGGAATGACTTGGTGAACTTTTTCAGAGGAAGCTTCTCATATTAAAACACAGGAGCTATCACTGGCTTAATGAACTTTCTCTAGTCACCTACACCCTCCTAGTACCCAGGAGATTCTTACTTACATAAATTCTGGATTGACAGGTTTGATTGCTCACCTCCTGCTTTGCTATGTGAAAATCATGACCCATACCCAATTTCTATAGAGATTATACCAGAAGAAAATGATGTGGTGATTGTTTCTGAGCTATTCCATATGGAATGCAGTGTATTCAGTGGCCATGCCCTCCATTAAACGGGTTTGAGCAAAATTGAAATGGAATCTAAAGACAGAAACCCTGACTGGCTTCTACCATGCCAGGTAAGCCTCACTCATAAGCAAGGGAAGCATCAAGATCTTATATTATTGGTAAGTAATTCACTGTCATCAAGCCAATAAAACGTTTTCCTCTTATCATTGAAAGTACAAATTAAAATGGAAAAAGGTTCTGTCAAAATGTATGTGTATATATCTGTATCTTACATGATTTGGGGACTGAGATGAGATTCTGTAAGATATATGTGTAAATAGTATAAAAATATAGCAAGTTCAATAACGAAAATTTTTATGATTTCATGGAATATGTCTAATGCCATAAGACATAGACTAGGGCATCATATCCAAAGCAACCATTTCATCTAAAATACAATCTATATTCATGACGAGACCATAAGAAGATCCTTTTGTGGACAATAAATAACCTGTACTAGAGTAGGCAGTACTGAAACATAATTGCTTTCACAGATTTTTTTAGTATTAATATGGTATGATGAAGGTGAAACCAAAACTGTGCTCCCATTATTAGATTTTAGAATAGAGACAGTGCTCATGAGCTGGGGCCGTATCTCAACGTGTTTGTGGTAAGTGTAATGTGTGGGTTTTAAACCAACAAGATATAAACTAAGACTCATTTACACTTATGAGCCTTGGAGATCACCTTCAAATAGGGTATCATGAAGAAGATTGTTGAGCGAGTCAATTAAACTTTTCATTCAGTCAACATTAGGTAAATAAAAGATGAAATGTGAATGTTTGTATACTATATAGTTTAGTATTATAGGAATCAGTAATGTTTGACATTGGTATTGACATAGTCTGTAGTCATGACTTCCAGTCATAACATAGGTAAATATATCTCTTGTACAGATAACTAAGTATCTATATAGAAGTTCTTTATAACATGAGTTATTAATTAGTTAACACAATATTAGCTTGTGTTATTTTTAGAAGTTGATTTTTTGTAATCAAGATAATATTGGTGTCTTCACAAAAATATAGAAGTGTTTCTTCCTTTTTCCTTTTGTGGAATACTTTGAGGAATATTGCAGTGAGTTATTTGAGACTCTTGTAGAATTCATGCTGAATCACTAGACCTAGGCTTTCTTTCTTTTTTTTCTTTTAATTAAGAGATTTTCAAATTATCATTTCTATCTTGGTTGTTATGTGTCTGTTTTAATAATTTACTTCTTCTTGATTTAATGTTGTTAGATTTTATACATCTAGAAGTCTATCCATTTATGTTTTTACATTTAAATGCTTAGTTGAATAAAGACTTTAAAAATATGAACCTATGATTCTCTGCTCTTCTCAGTGCATGTTGTAGTGTCTGTTAGATTAGGATCGATAACAGTTGACATGGACTTAGAAGAGAACAGACAGACATTTTCAAAAGCAGGATTTTTCTTTCAGACAAAACACTGATTATACTAGTCTTTTGAGGGGGTAAGTGGAGATTCTGCACTGTAGTACAGTGGCTGGAGGTCTTAAGTAGCTTGATGGGGAGAAGGACATACCATGGGGGTTCAGTGTATAAATTTCTGGCCTTAGTGCTGCCTTCTGTAGGTGTATGGGTTTATTTCTGGGTATTTGATTCAATTCCATTGACCGACATGTCTGTTTCTCTGCCAGTACTATGTCGTTATTATTACTATTGCTCTGTAGTATAGCTTTAGAACGGGGATGGAGATAACTTCAGAAATCCTTTATCGTACTGGGTTGTTTCAACTATTTTTTTAATATGATGTTGAGAATTGTTCTTTCAAGGTTTGTAAAGAATAGTATTGGTATCTTATTGGGAATTACATTAATCTCTAGATTTCTTTTGGTAGGATGACCATTTTTTGCTGTTATTCTTACTGATCCATAAGCATGGAAAATCTCTCCATCTTCTGATATCTTCTTCAATTTCTTCAGAGATTTGAAGTTTTTTTTTTTTTTTTCATACAGATCTTTCACTTGCTTGGTAAGAGTTAAACCAGTGTACTTTATGTTATTTATGACTATTGGAAGGTTGTTGTTGCCCCAATTTCTTTCTCACCTCACTTGTCTTTTGTATACAGGAAGACTTCAGATTTTTTTGAGTTAATTTCATATCCAGCAATTTTGCTGAAAGTGTTTATCAGCTGTAGGAGTTCTCTGGTAGAATTTGTGGGTCCACTCATGTATACTATCATATCATCTGTGAATAGTGATACTTTGACTTCTTCCTTTCTGATTTGTATCCCTTTGTTCTACTTTAGTTGCCTTACTGCTCTAGCCTGGATATGGTGGGTGATATCTTTAATGTATTCTTAGATTTGGTGTGCAAGTATTTTATTGAGTATTTCTGCATCAATGTTCATAAGAGAGATAGGTCTGAAGTTCTCTTTTTTGGTTGGGTCTTTGTGGGGTTTAGGTATCAAAGTGACTGTGGCTTCCTAAAATGAGTTTGGTAATGTCCATTGTGTATCTATTTTGTGGAATAGTTTGAAGGGAATTGGAGTTAGCTCTTCTTTGAAGGTCTGGTATAACTCTATGTTGAAACCATCTAGCCCTGGGCTTTCTTTTTTTGGAAGGGAGATTTGTGATGACTGTTTCTTTTTCTTTGGGAGATATAGGACTATTCAATCTATTTACCTGATCTTGATTTAATTTTGGTTGATGGAATATATCGAAGTTGTCCATTTCATTTAGATTTTCAAATTTGTGGAATATAGGCTTTTGTAGTAAGACCTAATGATTGTTTTGATTTCCTCAGTGTCTGTTGGTATGGCCCCTTTTCATTTCTGACTTTGCTGATTTGGATAGTTTCTCTCTGTCCTTTACTTAGTTTGGCTAAGTATTTGTCTATCTTGTTGATTTTCTCCAAGAACCAGCTCTTATTGAGTTTTTGAATTATTTTCTTTGTTTCTAATTCATTCATCTCAGCTCTGAGATTGATTATTTCCAATCATCTACTCCTTGTGAGTGTGCCTGCTTCTTTTTTTCCTAGGGCTTTTAGGTGTGTCATTAAATTGCTTCTATGAGATGAACTACTCTCTGGAGGCACTTAGTGCTATGAACTTTCCTTTTAGCAGTGCTTTAATTGTGTCCCACAAGTTTGGGTAAGTTGTGCCTTCATTTTCATCGAATTTTAGGAAGTCTCTAATTTATTTTTCTATTTCTTCCCTGACAAAGCTATCATTGAGTAGAGAGTTGTTTAGTTTACCTGTGTATGTAGGTGTTTTTTTTTTGTTATTTATGTTGTTGTTGAAGTCTAGTTTTAGTCCATGTTGGTGTGATAGAATACAAAGGATTATTTCGATCTTGTGTCTTTTGAGGCTTGTTTTGTGCCCAATTATGTGGTCAATTTTTGAGAAGGTTCCATAAGGTGCTGAAAAGAAGGTATACTCTTTTGTGTTGGGGTAAAAAGTTCTGTAGACATCTATTAGGTCTATTTTATTTAGGATGTCTGTAATTGTTATTATTTCCCTATTTTGCTTCTGTCTAGATGATCTGTCCCTTGGTGAGAGTGGAGTGTTGAAGTCTCCCACTATTAATGTGTTGGGATTGATGTGTGTTTTAAGCTTTAATCATGTTTCATTTACAAATGCGGGTGCTCTTGAATTTGGGGCATAGATGTTCAGAATTATGATATCCTTCTGGTGGATTTTTCCTTTGATAAGAATGAATTGCCCTTCTTCATCTTTTCTTTGATTAATTTTTGTTGAAAAGTCTATTTTTATCAAGAGTATTGGTCTGTGGTTTTCTTTCTGTGCGATTTTAACTGGTTTGCTTATTTGCAATGCTGGATTTCTAGAAAGAATTTTGAAGGGCTCCTTCTGTTTCTCTTCCTTTTTTTTCTTTTCATGATAGTTTAAGAAGGATTATTGTAGCTCCTTTTTGAATGTCTGGTAGAATTCTGGTGTGGCTTCATCTTAAGCAGACACACCCAAGTGGAGTAGATGATTAAAAGAAAACAAATTTAGAGCTGAAATCTCATTCTATTAAGCCACAGTCACCTTCTCACCTAAACTCCAAAAAGACCCAACCAAAAAAAGAGAACTTCAGACCTACCTCTATTATGAACATTGATGCAAAAATACTCAATAAAATACTTGCAAACTGAATCCAAGAACACATCAAAGATATCCACCATGACCAATTAGGCTACATCCCTGCATGCAGGGATCATTCAATATATGGAAATCCACCATTATAATCCACCATATAAACAAACTGAAGGAGAAAAACCACATGATCTTCTTAAATGCTGAAAAATCATTTGACAAAATCCAACACCCATTCATTTTTAAAGTCTTGGAGAAATGAGGGATACAAGGCACATACCTAAACATAGTAAAGACAGTATACAGCAAGTCTTTAACCAATATCAAACTAAATGGAGAGAATCCCAGTAAACTCATAGAAAAGGTATGACTTCCCACTCTCTCAGTATCTCTTCAACATAATACTTGAAGTCCTCACTAGAGCAGTAAGATAACTAAAGGAGATCAAAAGGATACAAATCAGAAAGGAAGAAGTCAAAGTATCATTATTTGAAGATAATATAGTATACATGAGTGACCACAGAAATTCAACCAGAGAAATTCGTTAGCTCATAAACACCTTCAACAAAGTGGCTGGATAAAAAATTAACTGAAAAAAAAATCAGTAGCCCTTATGTGTACAAAAGACAAAAGGGCTGAGAATAATTAGGGAAACTACACCCTTCACATTAGCCAGTAATAAGTATCTTGGTGTGACTCTAACCAATCATGTGAAAGACCTGTTTGAAAAAAAACGTCAAGGCTCTGAAGAAAGAAATTGAAGGTATCAGAAGAAGGAACAATCTCCCATGCTCATAGATTAGTAGCATTAACATAGTGAAAATGGCCATCCTGCCAAAAGCTATCAACAGATTCAATGCAGTTCCCATCAAAATACCAACACAATTCTTTATAGACCTTGAAAGAACAATTCTTAACTTCATATGGAACAACAAAAATTCCCAGAATTGCTAAAACTATTTGTGCAACAACAGATCATTTGGAGGCATCTCCATTCCTGATCTCAAGCTATGCTAAAAAGCAACTGCATAGTACTGACATATAAACAGAATGGTGGATCAATGGACTCAAATAGAAATAAACCCACATGTCTATGGATACTTGATTTTTTACAAAGAAGCCAAAAGCATACAATAGAAAAAGCCAGCATCTTCAACAAATGGTGCTGGCCTAACTGGATGTCTGCTTGTAGAAAAATGCAAAAAGATACATATTAATTACCTTGCACAAAACTGAAGTTCAAAGTGGATCAAAGATCTCAACATAAAACTAGACATACTAAATCTGTTAAAAGAAATATTGGGGAGCAGCCTTGAATGTATTGGTATGGGACAGTACTTCCTGAACAGAACACCAATAGGTCAGGCTCTAAGATCAACAATTAATAAATGGGATCTCATGAAACTGAAACATTTCTATAAACAAAGGACACTGTCTTCAGGATGAAATGACAGCCTACAGATTGGGAAAGGATCTTCAACCCTATATCTGACAGAGGGCAAATTCAGAATATATAAAGAACTCAAGAAGTTAAACAGCAAAAAATTCAGGTAGTCCAATTAAAAATGTGGTATAGAGCTAAACAGAGAATTCTCAGTAGAGGAATATCGAATTCCAGAGAAACAGTTAAAACAATGTTCAGCGTCATTAATCATCAGGGAAATGCAAATCATAACAACCCTGAGATTTCACCTTACAACCATCAAAATGGCTACGATTAAAAGCTCAAGTGACAACACATGCTGGAGGAGATGTCCAGAAAGGGGAACCCTCCTCCATTGCTGGTGGGAATGTAAACTTGCACAACCACTTTGGAAATCAATCTGGAGCTTTCTCAGACAGTTAGGAATAGTGTTTCATCAAGATCTAGCTATATCACTCCTAGGCATATATCCAAAAGAGGCTCAAGTACACAAGGACATATGCTCAACCATGTTTGTAGCAGCTTTATTTGTAATAGCCAGAACCTGGAAACAACCCAGGTGTCCCTCAGTTGAGGAACGGATACAAAAATTGTGGTACTTTTACACAATGGAATACTACTCAGCAATTAAAAATGAGGAAATCATGAAATTTACAGGCAAGTGGTGGGACCTAGAAACAATCATCCTGACTGAGCTATCCCAAAAGCAGAAAGACACACATGGTATGTACTCACTTATATAGACCTATAAGATAGGATAAATATACTGAAATCTATCCACCTAAAGAAAATAAACCAGGAAGAGGACCCAGGGTATGATGATCAATCCTCACTTAGAAAGGTAAATGGGATAGACATTGGATATAGGAGCAAACAAGTAACAGGACAGGAGCCTACCACAGAGGGCCTCTGAAAGACTCTACCTAGCAGTGTATCAAAACAGATATTAAGACTCATAACCAAACCTCTGGCAGAGTGTAGGGAATCAAAAAAGGGGTGGGAGTTAATACAACCTGGAGAGGACAGGAGTTCCACAAAGACCAAATATATCTGGACACAGGGGTCTTTTATGAGACTGTTTCTCCAAACAAGGGTCATGTATGGATGCAAAGTAGAGCCCCTGCTCAGATGTAGCCCTTGGTAGCTCAGTATCCAAGTGGGTACCCTAATAAGGGGAACAGGGACTGTTTCTGACATAAACTTGATTGTGGGCTCTTTGACCCCCCCCCACACACACAGGGAGGAGCAGCCCTGCTAGGCCACAGAGGAGGACTTTGCAGCCAGTCCTGATGACACCTGATAAACCAGTATCAGATGGAAGGGTAGGAGGTTCTCCCTTATCAGTGGACTTGGAAAGGGGCAGGGAGATGAGGGTGGGAGGGTGGGGTTGGGAGGAAAAGAGGGAGTGGGATATACAGCAGGGATACGAAGTTAACAAACTGTAAGTAATATTAAAAAAATAAAATAAAAATTTAAAAAGGAGTATTTGTATTGGCTTTTATTTAAAGTCTGGTAGAATTCTGTGCAAATATCCTCTGTCTCAGAGGTTTCTATTTTGCTTAGGAGAGCTTTAATGACTGCTACTTTTCCCTTAGGGTATATAGGCCTTGTTTTTTGTTTTATTTTGTGGGGGGGGTTGGTGTTTGTTTTTAAAGTCAAAGTACTTTTTTGTAGTCCTGTCAGTCCTGTAAGTAGGTATTTAGACCAGGCAGGCCTCAACTTCGAGATCCACTTTACAGTGTCTCTAGAGTGCTGGTATTAGTTGTGGGCCCATATGCCTGACCTTTTTGTTTCATCGTTAAATTATTACGTGACAGTTCAGGAATGTAGGTATTTACATGTCAAACATGCTCTTGTATTATGCTCTTTATTATGATATTAATACTGCTTGAACCTTATGAATCATATGATTGCAGGACTTTTTATGCCTGTTTTAAAATTTTTTGAATGAATATGACTATTTTCCATATTTATGTAAATAAGTATTTCATGTGTGCCTGGTCTTCAAAGATGGCTTCAGAACTCTTGAACATGGAATAATAAATAGTTGTGAGCTCCTATGTGTGGGGTATGTCAAGGTAAATATTTAGGAGGCCCATAGGGAATGGCAAGTGAAGCTTTAGGAACTCCTACAACTTCTTGTTCCAGTGCACACATTGTTGCTCTACTAGCAACTCATAGCATACTAAGTCTCAAAGGGGTCCAAGGCTATGGCAGTGCTGCTTCACCCTTCTTTATGGAAATCGCCTAATTTGTGGGGTGGCCAGCCCCCACAACTCCCACATTTCCTTACAGTTGTATCATCCTGATTGATGGTTACTGGTACTTGAGGCCAGCATGGAATATTCTGATTGGGCTTTCAGTCATTTAAAGACTGTTACACTGAATAATAAAGTTAGAGCTGCACCTTTGAGTGTTGTCTCTGGAATTTGATTACCAAGTTTCTGTGTAGACTCTGTCACCCCTAATCCACCTACCCATTGGTTCCTGATTCCCACCTGTGTAAGTACCAGCATTCAGGCCCAAATATTTGCAAGACCAACAAGACCTCTTCACTGCTGAGCCATCACTTATGACCTATGTTGCTTATTTTTATTTATTTATTTATTTATTTATTTATTCATTCATTCATTCATTTCTAGTAACTAATTTAATTTTGTGTGCATTGATGTGAGGATGTCAAATCGATTGAATTTGAGTTACACACTGCTGTGAGCTGTCATGTGGGTTCTGGGAATTGAAGCCAGGTCCTCTGGAAAGCAAAAGTGGTGTTCTTATCCACTAAGCCATACCTCCAGCCCAATATGTTGCCTATTTAAGACCAACATTTACATTGCTAATATTTTCATCTGTCCTTTTGTAATTGTTCATACATACATTTTATTTTAGAAAGATCATATTAATATTACATTTAAAATGAGGCACTTCAGGTTTCTAGACATGCATGAAGAACTGGAGAGAATGTATATCTCTGTAGAAACTTGAGAAAGATCTCTCAGTTCTTTCTCTCTTTTTGTTTGATTAAATTTTGCAGAATATTCAGGTCTTATTATATAACCCTGACAGTCATGGAACTTATTGTTTAGACCAGGCTAGCATCCAGCTATATGTGATACACCTGCATCTGTTTCCTGAGTGTTTTTTAAAATAAATGGCATGAGAAAATACACCCATCTTACCTATTGTTATTATAGTTATTAATTGTTCATACTGTTTTTCTGATGTCGTTGCAGTACTTTTGTTTACTCTCTCTTTATGTCTATTAATAGGTATTTCTCTTGCAAGGCTATATCTTACTGAAAGGATGCAGAAATTAGAGAGGTGAACCTCACTATTCAGTTTACTTCTAAAGAGTTGGTGATTACATTAGAACTTGTGTGTCAGAAAATAAGTAGAAGAAACTCCAGAATTCTGTAAAAAATATTGTAAATGAAGTATACATTTTTAGTGTTGTAAGTTTCAAGCTTTTTGTTGTACACATGTGTGGATATTTTAGAATGCATTGACCTACAATGATGTGCATGTGAACTTTACTCGAGAAGAGTGGGCTTTGCTAGATCCTTCCCAGAGGAATCTCTACAAAGATGTGATGCTGGAGACCTACAGGAACCTCACTGCTATAGGTAGGACAGTGAATTTTCTTTACTTTTCAAAATATGAGGGAAACTATTCATTATTCATGCACTTATGTAATTTAGCTTGAGGATGCGGAAAAATGAGAAGAATGGTTCTTTGATTGACCATAGATCATGACCTTTTTTCCAATAAAACATAATATATTTTGTTGTACTGTATTTTAGGCTACAATTGGAAAGATCATAATATTGAAGAGCATTGTCAAAGTTCTAGAAGACATACAAGGTAATTTTCATGTGTAATGTATTATAAATATGGTTCTGAGAAAAATTTTAATATGTCCTGGAAGATTGAAAGAAAAGGAACAATGTAAATGAACTGCTTTAAGTGTATTTATTGATGTTACTAACTTGTTACCAAACCATGTACTACCTCCATGTTATGTATTTGAAGTTTGTTTGCAAGGCACCACTCTAGAAAAGAATGTAAGCAAATCATACCTTACCTAAGATCACCATTTAAATCATAGCCTCATCAGAGCTATGCGGTAGAACTGCATTTTGTTTAGTCTCCTACAACTCAGATATTGCCAAAGGAATTCACATTATATAGGTGATGAAAGCATATCCAAAATATTATCCTAATTAAGTAGTCCATGCTAAAGCTAGAGTTACTCATATACGTGTAATAATGTTGCTTAGTTTGGTGAGAAGGGCAGTTTTTTATAGTCCAGAATGTTGTTGTGGAAAAACCATAATCCTTACATATCTATGATGAACAAAATAAAATGTGTGAATGCAGCATAAAACCATGCCATTTATTATTCTTTATTCTTCTTTTAATAGGTATATCATTGTCACAGTGAAGACATATTAGCATGGGGCTATTGAAAGAAGCAATGTACCTCCCAGAACAATTAAAAGATATAATAGTCCCCATTTTGAGTAGATTTTTTAAATGTGATACCTGTTATGTTTTATATAGGATATTCCGACCTGGCAGCAGTGCAAAGAATGACACAGAATCTTTTTAATATTTTAAAGCTTAGGCAATTTACCTGGGCAGCCTCTGAACCCTCTTTTTCCCTTAACCCAAATAAAACTAGTCAGGTGTCCCGTTGCATGGCCAGCTCTACCTCTTCATAAATGTTCATATACATCTGTTACCTGCAGTGTACTGCTAATGAATTTGTCTTTTGCTTTCTTCTTCCCAGCAACCCTCTCTCACTCAGATGTTCTGCCCTCTATTTTGTGCCCTGCTATTAGTTGTCCACTTTTATTGTTTCCAATAGATAAGAAAGGAAGGACAAATGTTTACAAAATATATGACAGGTGATTGGCAATAGAAAGAACAATACTAAGTTCTGGCCAGCACTTAGTTCTCTGCTGTCTCAGCAATCAGCATTCACATATGCTGACACACTTTCACACAATATACCCCAACATCAATTTATTGGTTATTCAATTTCCTTAAGAATACTCATAAACTCACACTGCAGAAAATGTAAGTTTTAGGAATGTTGAAATTTTGTTTGTCCCAGTTATCTTTGCAAATTTATCATGGCGCCCAGTATAGGGGAGTTTATGAAGCCAGTAGATTTTGCAGTTTTCTACAAATATGTGGTAAAACATCTTATAGAAGAAAAATATAGTAAAAATATGAGCCAGGTAACAAACATTTTTATCATCACAGGTATGTTTAAATATGCAAAACTACACATAGAGAAGGAGAACACGATGAATGTAAAAATAGTGATGAAACCAAGATGTAGTTCCTCTTTACCTTTACACCATATTGTAAAATTGACATGGATAAAAATATTCAACAGTGTAATGAGTGTGGTAAAGCTTTTTTATGTGCCAATTATTTTTGCAGGTGTGAAAACAGTCATAGTGGAGAAAAACCTTCTGCAGATATTCAATATGGTGAAGTCTTTGCACATCACAGTAGTCCCCACACATATAAAAGAATACATGCTGATGAGGAACTCTATGAATGTAACCAATATGGTAAATCCTGGGCATATAATAGTGAACTTCAAATGTGTGGAAGAATTGATGCTGGACAAAAACCCCACAAATGTAATCAAAGTGCAAAAGCCTTTGCAAACAACAGGTGTCTCCTAATACATAAAAGAACCCATACTGGAGAGAAACCTTATGAATGTAATCGATGCGGTAAATCATTTGCAAGTAACAGTCATCTCCTAATACATAAAAGAATTCACACTGGAGAGAAACCTTATGAATGTAACCAATGTGGTAAAGCCT